AGCAGTGGCATGATTGTTATCAGGGTAACAAACCAGTCTTTCATTGGAATGATATCATTCTTTTTTATGTGATAGTATTATCTCTTTTGTTCACTTTATATTGCTTTTTGTATTGCTTTTAGTGCATTTAATACCTTTTTCAGAATGTCTCAGTGTACTAGTTAAATTACCAAAACAGATACTCTTTCAAAACCATTTGTGTTTTCATCCTGAGAAACAGAACACAGTTTCAGATCAGCCTAGTTTTAGTTGGAGCTATGGTGTGCAGTTTAAGGAAGGTAAGGTCAGACTCACTGTTAAGGAATTGTTGCATTTCCTTCAGCACTGTGTCTTTCTGGAATAAAATTTCTAATTATGTAACTATTGCACTAAATGTGATACTCATGACTGTATATCACTGTGGTTATTTACTAAGCTCCAAGTTAAAAGAGCAAACTGAAGAAATTCTCTCAGTAGCCATGATTGAAAGAGCCTACTCTGATGATACAGCTAATCACCTGGGGTGGCATGAGCTGTAGAAGACTGGAAGCACATTTATTGACTGATGTGGGACTCCCCTAGGTATGCTGTGATATGCTTTCTTATCATTGGTTAATAAAAAAAGCTGCTTTGGCCTGTAGCAGGGCATAGGAGAGCTAGGTGAGAAAACTAAACTGATGGCTGAGATAGACTAGGCAGAGTCAGGGAGAGGCCATGTAACCGCAGCAGAAGACAGATGCTGGATGCCAGATGGAACCTTCATGGTAAGCCACAACAATGTGGCGATACAGAGATTAATAGAAATTGGTTAATTTAATATATAAGAGCTAGTCAATATGAAGCATGAGCTAATAGGCCAAGCAGTGTTGTGTAATACAGTTTCTGTGTGATTATTTCAGGTCTGGGCAACCAGTGATCAAAGGACAAACCTCCGCCTACAACTGACATCTTCTGAAAAGAGTCACATTGTACCTGTGGTTTTCTTGGTTTGTCATGTTCTAGCCATGGAGATAAAAGGTTACAATGTGGAGTACTACTTGAAATAATCCAGAAATATTAAACAGGAAATGCCAAGGAGACTACTTCATGTTAGTAATCTCTCAAAACCCATCTCCCAAGAAGAACAAATACATTGCTATATTAGAAATAGAAAAATGAAGAAAACCAATTTATGTGATTAATAGAAGTAATGCCCTGGTCAGACAATTTCTACCCCACTCAAAAGCTCAAAGTCTGGAAGACAGAAACACCTGGAAATTTATATTCATTCATGTGCTAGTGGTTGAAGCCACAAAGACTCAAACTGCTGAGGGCTGGGACAGCCTGAGACCTTTTAGTGGTGTCTGTACAGTTGCAAATAAGAACATAGTAAATGATAAAATAGAATCTATTAGTAGGTTTTTGTTTGGTTTTTCGTGACAGGGTTTTTCTGTGTGTCTCTGACTTTCCTAGACCAGGCTGGCCTCAAAGTCACAGAGATCCACTTGCCTCTGTCTCCTTGAGTGCTGGGATTAAAAGTGTTCACCACCACCTGGTTTTATTAGTAGCTTTAATTGTCAACTTGGCACAATTTAGAATCACTTGGGTCTGGAGAGATGCCTCAGTAGTTTAAAGTACATTCTGTTCTAGAAGGCCTGAGTAGATCCCAGGCCCATGTAACCCAAGGTCTAAGAAAAAACACCCTCCTCTAGTCTCTGGGACACCTAAACATTGGTGGCTATACTCATACATAGAGACACATACATAAGCAAAACATTTTTTTTAATCAACCTGGGAAGAGAGTCTCAGTGGGAGTGTCTAGATCATGTTAACTGATGTAGGTTTGTCCTGACTGTGCTGATGCAGAGAAACCCAGGTCCTTTGAGTTTGGGGACACTGAGCTCTGCACTGCCACTTTTTTGCACTGCTCTTCTTTTCTAAGGAGGTAATGTGATTATATCATTATCTTCACAGTTCCTGATGTCTCGGCTTCTCCACAGTGACGGGCTGTCTCCTGGAACTCTGAAGAAAAGCCTCAGCTTCTCCACAGTGGCAGACTGTCTCCTGGAACTCTGAAAGAATGCCTCAGTTTCTCCACAGTGACAGACTGTCTCCTGGAAATCTGAATGAAAATAGAGCTACAGTTGCAAGGAGGAGGCCACTTGTTTTGCTCCCTGCCACCCAGACTCCCAAAAATAACCACACAGAAACTGCGTTAATTAAATCATTGCTTGACCCATTAGCTCTAGCTTCTTAGTGGCTAACTCGTACATCTTATTTTAATCCATCTTCATTAATCTGTGCATCACCATGAGGTCATGGCCTACTAGCAAAGTTTCAGTCTGTCTGTCTTTCACAGAGGCTCCATGGCTTCTTTCTGACTCCACCTCCTTTCTCCAAGCATTCAGCTTAGTTTTCCCCACCTACCTTAATTCCCCTCGTAGGCCCAAGAGTTTCTTTATTAACCAATGGTATTCACAGTATACAGAGGGGAATCCCACATCACCTCCACATTTCTGTTTAAATAAAAAGGAAGGTTTTAACATTAACATAGTAAATTACATATAACAAAATAGGTATCAAGCAAAAATTACAGTTACTCTATTTATATACTTTATCTTTTATCATAATTAAGGAAAACTATAATGATAACTATAATTCTTTAACTCCATCAAAAACTCCAGAAGGATATGATATTACCTAAGTAAACAGGAAGTACATTGTAAGCAACTTCCAAAACTGGAATTGACAGAGCTATCTCACTGCCTGGACAGTCACCCACAGTTCTTTTGCAATGTTGGGGCATCCATCTTCAGCCGATAGGGCCATAGTATCTGGCAGACTTTTCTATAAAGCAGGAAGTTTCAAAGACAGCTCCACCTATATTGGTAGTTTGTCAGTCACTTTCTTCTCTTTAGCAGACTCTTTTTATTCTTTCATGAAGCAGGAACCCCGAAGGGTCATCTTATCTTTAGGCAAGTTCAACAGTCATTTCTCTATGGGTCCTGCATATCTGGTTAATCAAACAGTCCAGGCAAAGCATTTCTTGCCCAAATTGCTAGCAAAATCCGTAAGGAGCCTCTTTGATGCCGATCTTCCTCTTGAAGTATATTGGTGCTGCCAGGAGCAGATGTGTCTCATTTTCATGAAAAGTTCTAAATTATTAAAACATTTAAATGCCATATTCTGAAGGTCTCAGAAAGATTTGAAGAATACCTATCCAACTTAAATACATCTCTGTATATAAAGAAAACCTAAGTAACATGACTACAAACTTAACTATTAGAGATGACTATCTATTAACCTTTATTTTTAAATTATACATTATTTATTAATTTATTTTTAAATTATACATGAACTGTACAAACATAATACCTCAATCAAGAACAGAAATACATATACACAATATAGGAAAATTGATCTAAATTTGTATCAATAAACCAATATACATACTAATGCAAAGTATCCATACCTATAGCATATCCTCCTTTAAGTATAAACAAACATTTATAAACAATGTTTGAGAATATGGGCATAGTTCTCTTAACTACTTCCTATTGATTGGGGGTACTGTTAATCAGGTCTTTCATGGTGTATCCTGTGTGCTAGGTTAATCTCAGTCAGCAGTTGGGAAAAGTAACTTGGGGGTGTCACAGCATCCTTTCAGCGGATCTTGGTGCATCAAACCATATTAGTCTGGAAGGAATCCACAAGTTCTCATCCTCTGTGGAAACAAAAGAAGAACCTCTTTTCCAAAGTAACATATCCTTAGATTCAAATTCTGAAGTCAAGATACTTTTAAGGTATATATATGTTGGTTTCTTAGCTCCTTCACAGTCAAAAAATTCAAAGAAAACACAATAATATACATAATCTAGACTGTGAATTTTTCATCTTTATGAACTATTTGTTTTTTATTGTATTTGAGGTTTTTTCTCATAAAGCTGTATTAATATGCATGTTACAGGGTGTGTATGAACTGCTTCTATAGCATATACATATGTGGGCACACATGTATATGCATATGCCTGTATATACATGGCTCTTTCTATCTTCTTGTTAGTCTATCTAAAAAAATAGATTGTCCTCTACTTCTTTCCTCTCTTCACACACACATACAGGTCATTTTGCAAGATAAGCAATTAACTTGATAGTACTTTGAGAAACATCTATTTAAACACTTCTTTGAGGCCTGCAGAGTTGCTTCGGTGGTCAAGAACAGTGGCTGCTCTTGCAGAGAAGCCTGTTTCTTCTCTCAGCACCCACATGGGCAGTTCACAATAATTTGTAGCTCTAGTTCAAGGGTATCCTAATCCTCCTCTGACTTACAGGTGTACATGCAGGCCAAAATCCCATATACATGAGTTAATTGAATTTTTAAAAATGAAGAAAACTGTTCTTCTATAATGAATGGATACAAGGTACTTTGGATTCACATTATGATGATAACGAAAGTGATATCTTTACCCCTGCAGTGTTAGAGTGTCTCTTGAATTCCTTTTAAACTTGATTCTTAGAATGAATTTAAGTTTTTACATGATAACACATTTTAAATGAGCAAATACATACACAACTCTATAAGCTCCTGCTGAGATACAAGTCTGGCATGCAGTGTGTGTCAGCATAGGGCCCTTCCCTGTGTTCTAAGAGGCCAGATGACCCAGAAACTCATAATCCAATGTGTGGCAATTGGGGACAAACTCAGTTCTATTGTAGAGCAGTACAATGTTGTTCAATGCTCTACCTAATTCCAGCCATCAGGGTTCAAGTCAGAGAGCAGGTTTTTCCTCGTAGTGTTGTATTTTTAAGGGGAGTAAATTGAAGGGAGATTACACAGTGATTTTCTTGTTGATGTTTTAATGTTGCCCAAATGTCCCTGTGCTTACAGACTTAAGTAGATGCTAACAGAAGTCTACTTTTCAATACTAAAAAGAATGTTTAGAAGTGACAAAACTGACAGATCTATGTTTTCTTTGCTTGTTAAACATATATAATAAGTATATAGTCCTTATAATTACATATGCTACATATTATATTTTTAAAAAAACTTTTTATTAATTATTTTGTGAATTTCTCAAAATGTAACCCAATCCCATTCATCTCCCCATCCCTCCATATCTGTTCTCAGTCCTTGCAATCTCCCCCCAAAGGAAAGCAAACAGACTAAAAACGAAACAAAACAACAACTCAAAAGCTCTTGCAGTGGAAGCTGCAGTGTGTCATCACATAGCTTTACTTGTGGGTGTTCATTTCAATGAGTCACTGAACTGGTTCGAGGCCTCTGTCTTTCTGCTGTGCTATCAGTACTGAACCCTCCCCAGCACTCCTCTCAGAGTCCTGTTGTCCTGTGTCCTGGAGACCCTACAGCTTTGCTTCTGCAGGCCTGGTCCCTTCACATGCTCCAGTAGTTCTTGGATAGAGTAGATGTTGGGGTCAACCAACTCAAAGCCCTCTATCTGAGCCTGGATGGTACCTGAATTAGTTAGGTACAACTGCTCTCCCACACTGCTCAGGTGAAGGGAAGGGCCATCTCTCCATCATCCACATCTCAGCAAGCAGGCAAGGGCTAGGGCCAGCTTTCCCACAGGCCAAGATCTATTGTGTTGGCTGCCCAGGTGATGTACCATCCCTCTCTTCTAAGTGCTGAAGTCAGCAAGCCGAGGGGCATTTCACCCCCTCTCACACATTCCTGAACAACGTTCCTATACTGTCCAGGTAAAAGGAAGTTCCAGCTCTCTTATCTGTGGCTGCCATCAAGGGGCAGGGCCAACTCTCTCTTGGGCATCCTCCTGGCCTCAGACGGTAGCCCAGACCACAGACATCCAAATAGCCCTCATTGGCAACATGGTTACAGTGAAGGTCCTCAGCACAGATCCCAGTCATAGAAGGGCCACGAACTCAGACATGACCCTAGGTAGCAGCAGAGGATTGGGTGTCAGAGAAGGGTACAGGCCACTCAGGTCAGCATGGACGCCAGGAGAAACATGGTCCTCAAACATCAACATGGGTTCAGGTGGCAGCAAAGACCACTCAGATGAATATGGCCCTGGGCAGCAGCATGCCCCCAGAAGTCAGCATGTCTTCAGGTGACAGCACACTCATCATATGGGCTTGTTTCTCACATTGCATTGCATTGCATCTCCAGTTCCACTTCTCTCCACAGTGCAGGGACCACTCTGCTTTTCTTTCCCTTCTCTCCACAATGTACTATATCTCTCCTATTTCTCACGGTGGGTGCTTGGGCATCCTGTATTATTTTTCTCATAATGTATCCATAATGCTTCTTTCCGATACCTTAATAGAACATGAAAATCAAAATGTAGTTTGGAACCCCTCCAGTAAAATGGATTTCTAGAAGTGGGATAAATATTCCAGCATGGTTATTTACAAAGCTACCAGCCCAGACAATGACTTGAAACCCCATCCAATGTACCTGCGTGCAGCTTCAGTTAGCAGTTTAGGGTCTCTGGATTGCAGCTGTTAGCTTCTATTAGTCATGTTGCACTTAAATGGGCTTTCAACTTCATAATGCCTGAGTTTGAAAAGGAAAAAGATCCAACTTTTGTTATTTAAAATGCACAGTATAAGAGAGACAAGTACTGAAGGAAAAGGACATAGTTTTGTGGATCTGGGGATGTGGGTCGGTCGGTGGAGAGCTTCTTTCAGATGTGCAACCCTTGCTCTCATGCCCAGTCCCACGTAAACCAGGCATAGGGAAGCAGGGCTGTAATCCACAAGTCTGAAGTGACTTTTTGGTATTTTGTTGTTTTTGTTATTGTTATTGGCTTTTTAAGAATAACTCACTTATTGTCTAAGAGCTACTAATGAGTGAGTACATATGATATTTGTCTTTCTGAGTCTGGGTTACATCACTCAATATGATGTTTTCTAGATCCATCTATTTGCCTGAAATTTTCACAAAGCAAATAAAACCAGACTACAATTCACAATCCCTGAGAACCTAGACAACAATGAGGACCCTAAGAGAGACATACATGAATCTAATATACATGGGAAGTAGAAAAATACAAGATCTTTTGAGTAAATTGGGGAACATGGAGACCATGAAAGAGGGTTGAAGGGGGGAGGGGAGATTCAGGGAGGGGAGACGAGAAAAATGTAGAGCTAAATAAAATCAATTTAAAAAAGAATAACTCACTTAAACATTTCTATTAAAAAATTTAAAAATTAAGAACACTTATTTAAATGCAATAATTAAGCCCTGGTCTAGTTTCCTCTTTGATTTATCTTTTAGTTCCTTTCAAAGTGTATTAAACTGTGGTGGACATTTTTCCATAACAAATCTAATTTGCCTGTTCAAACAAGTCAATATATAGTGTGATGATATATGTGTGTGTACAAATAACTAGGCCCTTTGGGGGTGGCGCATGATGTATGTCATCCCGCTTAATGTAAGGTATGAAGCATAGGTTTTCTGAAATGAACCTTCCAACTGCCTAGATCTCAGAAGGGACTGTTCTGAGGGCAGGGACAGTGGTGAACTCAGTCTGTCTGCTTCCTGGTAGCTGTTCGGACCTCCTGTATTCCTACCTGCCTCCCCACAAAGTCATCCTGGTTTTCCAGTTCTGTCCTGACACTCAGAACTGACTCCAACAGAAGGAGCTGAACTGTATCACAGTCTGGGAGAACTGCTAGTTTCCTCAGTCTTTTCAAGTTAATTCCTTTATTTTATACTCACACAGGGATGGCTTTGGCTCTTTGAGAGACGTTTTAATTTTTGTATGTATGGTTCATGTTAAGTCCCACTAACATAATACATAGTTCTTGCTTGGAGTCCTTTTTTGAGTATCTGATCAGTGCTCTGTAGCTGGATCATAACTGAGATTTGAGATTCCTCAGCCTCTCAAGTCTCGGTATCCGTGATGCAATTCCTAGCTTCCTCCTGGAAAACAGAACAATAAAACTCCCCAGGAACAGAGTGTAACAGAATGTGGTTAAATCTGCGCCATAAATTTTCTCCTAATTTCAGTGTAATTTGTTTATGTTATCTCTACTTAATCCACCCTTAAGGTCATTAAAATATAAAAGATGATTCAGATGTTTGTTTTGCTGTAATTCGTTATTCATTTGTGTTTCTAAAGACTAAGACAGTTATGTTATCTCCAAACAAAATTAGCACGTTCAACAAAGAATGCAATAATCAAGATCTTAGGTTAGCCGTTATGGCAAGGCCAAATGTGCTGGCGTGTCCTAAAGCTATTGATTCATGCTCATGACCCAAACAAGGCTCCTGCCTATGCACAGAGACAGTTAACTCAAGGTTAGACTAGGAGACATCTCAAGCTCCAGATGGACACCAAGACATTCTGAAAACTCTGGATCAAAGCAGATTTTTATTATATATACAAGCTTTGTTAAGTATTAACACACTAAGTCTTTGCTCCTACTACTGAGAATAACTTTCTGCAACATATGTGTTGGTAATATGTTCAATAATATTTACCCATGCCATATTGACTCATTTACTAAAATCAATATTTCTTCAACTCTACACTTAAGCCACATTTTCAAAAAAAGATAAAAGTGGCATAGGAAAGCTTCCAAATTTTCCTTTTAAAAGTATTCAGCCTTCAATTCTAATTACAAGTATATTCTTATTAGTGTTCTCATATCTTAAATTATTTAACTCACCACATAATGGTTAATGTGGTTATTATTTGTACTAAATAAGTAATCATATATTTGTATTTTGGGAAAAATCGGCTCTTCATTATTTATGTGAAGTTGTAATGAATTATAAAATAAGAAATATAGGGAATTTTGGAAATTATGCCATACTAAACTGGAATGTTTATGTTATCTGACATTTACTGTGTATTTCATAAGAGTTAAATTTCTTAAGTCATGCCTATTATTTGAGAGACATAAATACGTTTACACAAAGGGGTTTGATGTTTAGTAAATAAGAGTAGCTGTTCTTCTTAGATCTGTGGTTTGTGCTGCCACAAGATAAGGATACTGGATGAGCTCATCTAATTACACTCACACTGACCTTGTTTGTAAAAGAGAACAAAACAGCCATGAAGCACACAGCACTTGAGGAACAGTTCCCATATTGTGTGGAAGCCCGGGCTTTTCTGATGTGTCTCAGATGTGCAGCGGTAGATTATCTTGGCATCAGCTTTACGTGGAAAACTGTTACACACACTCTAACATTATCAGGATGATGCTCCGTGCTGACTCAAACTCCAGCTTTTGGACTGCTAAGAGAAGATTCTTCAAGTATTCTGTATCATTCAACACTCTGTACCCTCAGGAAACTCTCCCACCTCCATGCCAGTGATCTTCGAGTCCACATAACCTTGGTGAGCTCAAAACTGCTTGGATCATGTCCACTGCCAAAATTTACACTTAGTAGAAACATAAAAGACTACATTTGTAATATTCTCGTGATCCTCAATGTACTAATTTCAAGTAGGCTCAAAATTACTCTTATAACCTTCTTTATTCAAAACTAGTACCATACTGTGTTCCCAAGGCTGAAGCCGGAAGAGTTGAGAGTAAGAACAAGCCTTTCGAAGCAAACAAATAAACCAAAATTATGCTGCCTGTGTTTCTAAACATCCACGTGGTGGTTTGGGCAATGCAAAGTTTCCTCTGAAATATACTACTCCCTCTGTCTTCACCCCACTTCCTTGTGTACTTACAAACTCACGTGTAGTCATAAATGTTAGGTCCCATGAGCAATTCCAAGCATTGCTTTAAAATCCTGCATCCTACTCTGGTTTTAAGTCTTCATTTTTAAACATTCATGTACATGGTAAATGTTCCTTGGAATCATGGCTAATTTAAATGAAAGGATATAAAAAACAGGCAAATAAACACAAATCACTGCTTCCAAAGGCATTAGTAGTTTATTTTCCCAGCATTTTTTGTACTAAAATATCAAATAGTCAAACACCTTGGGGAGGGAGGTTTGAATTTAATTGGTTAATTGGTTGGTTAGTTAGTTATTGGTAGTTATACAAAGTGAACCTACAATCTCACATGCTAGTATTCTACCACTGTGTTATAAACCCAGCAGTGATATTAGTGTTTCCAATTCTTTTTAGAAAATACAGTGGAAGTGAGAGAAACCACAAAGGAATCTGGGGTAACCAGCTTCTGGAGAGAGTAGCTACATCAAGCACATTATTAGAATACAGTCAATATCCAATGTTGCAAGTTTTGTTTGTGAAACTTACAACCCCCTGGGCCTACCCTTTATCCTGAAGCCTGGAACTTCAAGCACAGGAAAACTCAGGTAACATGTTTAAACCTGGGAGAGTAGGGCATGAAATGAGGTGGACTAAAGGCTTGTGCAAGAGCCAACTTTATTTAGGGCATCAGGCCATTTCTATTCTGAGGGCATTAGGAGAGCTAGGCAAGGACATGTGAGCAAAGTTCAAGTTCTATACAGTCACAAGGATAAGGTCACATGAGTTTAAGATGTATGTGGCAACAGGTAACAAAGGCAACCAACCATGCTTGGGAACACCATCTAAACACTAGTGGGTAAGATAATGGCTAATCTGAAGTAAACCCTCTCCTACTGTTGCACCTGGGAGAGGCACAAAAGCACATTCCAAGAACCACCCATGTTATGGAGAAACGGAGGTTATAAGACTTTTGTCTCATTTCTTCGGAGTTTTCTCACAAGTTCTCAAAATTCTCCTTACACGGCTTCATTCAAGACCATACTTTGACAACATGCTCAAACTATGGAAAGAGTACAGAATGACTAAATTTCCCTGGTACCTCCCAGAAACCATGACCTAACTACTGAAATCTGTCAAATGTTTATGCACATATTTTACTATTTTATAGGAAACACGTAAGCTGATGAGATGGCACAGTAGGAAAAGTCACTTGCTGCCAACTCTGTGTTCTGATTTTGTTTATGTTGCTGTGATAAAGTATCCTGGTAAAAAACAACGTGTTGGGGGAAAGGTTTATTTGCCTTACAATTTCGAGTTATAGTTCATCATTGTGGAAATACCAGATTAGGAGCTACCTGGTCACATGACATCCGCAGTCAAGAGCAGAGAGGAATAGGTGCATTCATGCTTATCCCCTTGCTTGTTTGACTCAGGTTGGTTTCTCTACTCATATAGTTCAGAAGTTCTTGCCTAGAGAATGGCACTGCCCACAATGAGTTGAGTATTCCCAGATCAACTAACTTCATAAGAGAATTTCCCTACAGAACTGATTCACAGGCCAAACAAATGTAGGCCACCTTTCATCGAGGTTTGCTTCCCAGATGACTGTAAGTTGCATTAAGTTGACAATCAAAGACAACCATCAAAACTGGGGATTTTAATTAATTTAAATATTGGTTAGCATCCATGTGCTTAGTGCTGTGCTCAGTAGTATGCAATGATGAGCTTGCATTTTAACCTTAACCCCAAGAGATGCACAGTGTAGTAGAAAAGAGTAAGGTTGAGTTAGGTAAAAGTGATGCCTTTAAGGATGTCTGGGTCTCTGGTGTAGTTCACAGAACACATAGCAAAATTGTTAGCAGAGGTACAAAATGAATAAACCAACCAGAAGACAAGATAAAAATTTGAGATTTTCTCTTTCAAAAGATTGCAAAACCTGAGCCAGATCAAAATAAATATGGTTCTTACTGATCTGGAGGTTGGAAACTCAAGATCTTGTGTCACATTGGTCCTGGGGATCAAACTCAACATCAGGCAAGGCATCAAGTGCCCTTACCCACTGATCCATCCCACCACTGGCCCAAACAATGCCTCCCTTCATATTAAACTGAAGCAGAATTTCTCAGTCTATATTTCAGAGCACATTACTCAAACCATCCTATCCCACTAACTGCTCTGAATGAGTTCCACACCGATGGATCTGATGTCTTTGGGTCATACTCTCAGCATCTTCTCATTGTGCAGAAGAAGCAAGATACTCTCCATCGCTTTCTTGAGAAGGTTCCTTTCCCCATCACTGGGGACTCTACAGTCGTTGTATAATCACATCCGATGCCCCACCACTTACTATTACAGAGGTTTCAATGCTTGAATTTCAGGGAACACTAATAGTCACATCTCAGCTCCTGGTAACACCTAAACAATATGTAATAAAATGGCAACAATAAAATTAATTTCTTGAAGTGAATGTTTAAGATAAAGTGTTCTTTAAGGCTAATTTTTATTACAATGCAATTCTTATTCACAGGTGGAAACTCAGACAGAAGCTTCAAATTCATTGAGAAAAGCCCTTTAAAGATGTCAGTTTTTCAACCGCATCTCTGATTTTTCAGAGGGTAGTTTCTGTTGGGGACATTTCAAATTCTGAGTTCCCTAAAGTGAATTTAAAGTATAATCTTCCTTGTTAATTTTTGAGAGACACAAATATCTGTATAAATTTAGCTCTGCTCGAACAAGTGCTAAGTGCAGTTGTTGATGAGTAGCCTGGGGAGTGATTAAAATGGAATGTCCTAGAAGGACTAAGCTATGGAAAGAGAACAAAGTTCAAAATTGAAAGGACAAATGGACTGGTTGAGAACCAAGAAGTCAAGTAGATCCGTAAAAAAATGACGAAACAGGATGACTTGGGGCAGATTAAGTGCTCTAAGATATAGACTGGAAAATTTTATCCAATATGAAAGGAGATGTATCTTGGGCTGCAAGATGACTCGGTAGGTAAAGGCGCTTCTTACCAAGATTGACTACATGAGTTCAATCTCTGTGACTTCAAAGATTTGTCTTCTTACTTTGATGTACAGGCCATCACACACACACACACACACACACACACACACACACACACACTCACTCACTCACCACACAGTGTAAAGATAGTATTTAAACAAGGCATTTCTATGCAGTTGATAAAGGAGTGGCCTAAATAACATGTGTGAAGATGCTGTGATGACATTTGTGCAGAGAAGGGAATCTCTAGGGATAAGATAGGCGAGGATGCTGATGCTAGGATACAGGCTCTGGGAATCATGATAGGCAGTGAGCAGGGAGAAGGGGAGAGCCTGAGGTAGGACTGAAGTAAAGCATTCCATAAGGCAGTGTTTGTTTATTTATTTATTTATTTATTCATTCATTCATTCATTCATTCACTCACTCATTCATAGGACTAGGGGGAAGGTGCCACTGTTGAGAACTTCTTATTCACACAGACTGTACAGCAAAAGGTCAGGATGCTGAAATCGTTATGAACTCTCAGATCCGAGCTCTGTGAGGCAGCACACTGGCAGAAGGAAAAGTGATAAAACTCAGTTCTTAACATTCTGTAAGGCTCTGTAAGGTCAGGGTAAATGTTACCATATTAGCTAAAGTGTAAGGCAGTCATCAGAATGCTATGACTGCATGATCAATACAGAACCATTTATTGCATCAAGAAACTAGGTTTTCCAGATTACTAACAGAGGAAATGGGAATTTAAAAAACAAACACAAAACATGACCTAGAACTGATAACATTGTTTCATGGTCAAATGTCAAGTCTCTGACGCTTGTGAGATTAAGTTAAGCCAAGGTTCTCATTTAATCACATTAAGCTGGTTGAGGGGGATGTGGGGATCTGACAGATCACATTTTAGAAAAGTGTTTACTTCTAACTTAAATATAATTGTGGCGATTGGTGTTAGAACTCTCTAGTTAGAAAATGCCTTCCTTTATATAAATATCAACATCATAAGTAGTCATCCTTAACAAATACACACACAAGCATTGCTAAATAGAAGCAATAAGGTGCATTTGAGTGTGTGTGGGGGTGCGTGTGTGTGTGTGTGTAACAATAATTAAAGAGGCATGAACTTGACAGGGAGAGTTGCGGGGGAGAGGGAAGGTGGAAATGATGTACTCACGTTTGAAATTCTCAAACAAAGGTTTATAAACTTAAAAACTGTCACATTTTATTAATAGCACAGAAACAATATAGACAAAGTCCAGTGAGTGCTTTTGGAACAAGAACAAATTAAGCCACATGGACATGAGTTGTGTTGTTAAAACACAGAAAAGGCAGAAATGACACAGTTCTGTTAACCTCAACAAAGATGGGTTCTGTGCCAGCCAAGTTTATAGTGTGTATAACAGATGGGAACAAAAAAATCATTTAAAATTAATTTCTGAAATAGTTAATATGATCATATAAATTATATGTCTTGTCAAGAAAATATTTCCTGATGTGGACAATTTTAGAGATCCCACTGAGTTTTCAGAGTACAATATGTATACTTTCTTCAGATGATCTATGTAACTAAAATTGAAGACGTGAGATGGACAAATATTTTGCAGTGGCTACCGACAGCACATAGAATGACATTGTCGGGTTTTTGCGGTTACGTCAGAAAATCATCATCAAGAAATTCCTGCATGAAAATATTAATCCCTTGTCAAGTGTCATAGTTGGTACACATCTTTTCCCATTTTGTTAGTTGCCTCTTGACACTGTTGGTTGGTTTCTTCTTAAATTATACAGCAACTTCATGGGCTGATATAGTACCATGTATTTTGTACATAGCATCTATACTTTATGAATCTTTTCTAAAAATTATTTTCTTTTTTTGGTGGGGTACATCTTTTTTTAATTAATTTATTTATTTATTTATTTATTAAAGATTTCTGTCTCTTCCTCGCCGCCGCCTCCCATTTCCCTCCCCCTCCCCCAATAAAGTCCTCCTCCCTCGTCAGCCCAAAGAGCAATCAGGGCTCCCTGCCCTGTGGGAAGTCCGAGGACCACCCACCTCCATCCAGGTCTAGTAAGGTGAGCATCCAAACTGCCTAGGCTCCCACAAAACCAATAGGTGCAGTAGGATCAAAAACCCTTGATCTTAAAGCACATGATTCTTCCAGTAACTTCATTATTTCCTATCTTATATGTAGGCCTTTGGCCCATTTTAAGTTGATTTCTCCTTATGGTGAGAGAGGAGAGAGAAAGGTTTATGTCATCTATTTAGTCAACCTTTTGATTAGGACATTCTGTTTACATTCAAGGTTATTTTTTATATCCTATAATCGGTTAATTTCTGTGTGTGCTATTTATGTGCTCTTCATTCTTCTCTTGCTTATCTCGGTGGTTTAGTGGCATTATGGGTTAATGTTTGCTTCCTTTTTTCTTCTACATCTCCATTTCTGGGGCATTGTGTACATTAGTGCCAGGTAATGTCTTCTTGTTTCTGAATACAGGGCTCCCTCAAACATCATGAGTCTGGTCCAACAGGAATGAATTCCTTGATCTGCTCATCTTGAGAACACTGTACATCTGTTTCATTTCTGAAGGAGTGCTTTACCAAAATCAATTCCCTTGGTTGCCAAGATTTTTCCCCTTCTTGCTCTTCAGGGATCTGACCATCTCATCCTTTTTTCTCCAGAAAATTATGTTTTGGCTTCAGCGGGGATTTTTGTAAGCATGACAGCATTTTTCCTGTGCTTAGAACTTGTTCTGTCTTAGACTTTGGACAGTTTGAAGTACCATTGGGCCTACACAGGCTCTATTTGTATTCTATGTCAAATCTCCTGAGCTCCTGAGCTTGGTAGATCTAGACGTCCATATCTTCCTCATAGGATGGGAAATTTGGGGATATTTCATTAACTAAGATGTTTATGTTCTTCCCCCGTTCTGGACTATCTACAGCATCTATATTTGCTTAATGCATCGCCTAGGATTGGAAGCTTTCTTCATTGTTACTTTTTTGTATATGCAGCTGACTATTATAACAGATTGCTTTCATGTTCAAGACTTCTCTCTTCTACTTCTGCTCTGCATTTAAGATCCAGGGTTTTGTTTTTGAATCTTATTATCAGTTGAGGTCTTTCATTCTAGGACTTCTGTTTGGCTGTTTTCCATGATCTCTATCTCACAGCCAACTTTCTTATTTGTATTGTGAATTACCTCCATGATTTATTTGAAATGGCCATCTTGTCAATACAGCTCATTGGGCTTCCTCAGAAACATTGTTTTGATTTTTATCGCGTAGTTCCTCCACTTTGGTTCTGAGCAATGGTGCTCCTTGGAGGCATCAACTTTCCTTGTTTTTTTTGTTTTTGTTTTTGTGTTTTTTTCATACTTCTTACAATCCTTTGGGAATATCTACACATCAAGATCAGTGTTTCCACCCACCTTGTAGCATGGCTTTTGTAGTAAAGATTACTGCATGCCTTAGAAAGACAATTTGGTGGGAGCTGGAGAGATAACACAGCGGTTAAGAGCACTGGTTCCTCCTCCATGGGACCTGGTTTCAACTGACTGTTACAGCAGGTCACCACTGTCTGTAACTCAGGTCTCAGGGGATCTGACTCCCACACACAGACACAAATGCAAACAAAAACACCAATGCACATAAAAAATAAAAATATAGTAATTTAGCTCTGTTGATATATTACTCTGTGCTGATAATAACAATCACTTCCTTGACAACTTAAATAGGTGATCATCATATAATTTTTGAAACATTAAACAACATTTCTTAAATATAGATGTATACTTATTTATGTTACATTCACATAATTGGCACATCATCAAAATTTTACCATTTTAATGATGGAGGTGGGTCTTGTATCTTATCTGTTGCTTTAATTGGTTAATAATAAAGAAACTGCCTCGGCCCTCATAGGACAGAAAATTAGGTAGGCGGAGTAGACAGAAGAGAATGCTGGGAAAAAGAAGCTTAGTGAAGGAGTCGCCATGATTCTCCCGCTCCAGACAGACACAGGTTAAGATCCTCCCTGGTAAGCCAGCTCGTGGGCTACACAGAATATTAGAAATGGGTTAGAACAATATGTAAGAGCTAGCCAATAAGAAGCTGGAACTAGCTGGGCCAGGCAGTGTTTAATAGACTACAGTTTCCGTGTAATTATTTCGGGCATAAGCTAGCCATGCGGGCGGCCGGGTGCCGGGGACGCAGCCCTGCCGCTCCTATTTCAACATTTTAAGTGTGAAAAAACGAGGGGGAAATTGGGGCTAATGAGGGCTAAGGTACTGATTAATTATTGATTTTATGCAATAGTTGAATAAAATTTCCTGATGATTTAGCTGTGAAATGTCACCACACATTGAATTTTTGTAGCACAAAATAACATCTTGTCTACTTTTATGAAGTTTATACTCAGCTTATTTTTATGCATGACATCTGATCAAATAAATCTAGATCAAATAGGTATAATAAAATCAAGCTATTAGATAACATCCATTGCATTATTGAAAAAGTGGTTTTTGTATTAGAACATTTCTGTTCATGTAGAAATCATCAATTCAAATGTGTTTAAAAAATA